CCTCTGGCATCAACAAGGCATTTCCGCCCACAGGACTGCCGCTCACTGGATGTTTTTTCTTTTTCGGACCATTCTCTGTAAACCCTAGAGATGGTTATGCGTGAAAATCCCAGTGATACTGATTTGAAATTATGTTGTTCAACCGGGTCTTGTAATAAAACTCACACTACTAAGGCAGATAGAGGTTCCATGTGCAGCATCTGGTGGCTTTTTTCTGCTTGACATCCAAAATGTCCATGCACACCACTGTGTTCACGCTGTCATTTAGGAAACCTCTCTCATTCTTCCCTTTGCTCTTTCCTATGTTATAACTTTGACCCAATAGCATTGCATGTCATGACAGCTCTGGCTATTTAGCATAGCCAGTGATGACTGCAGATAAACTGTTTTCCTAGAGCAGTACATTGTTTTTCTGCCATGAACACGGCATTGAGACAATCTCCTGGCTCTGAATGGTTGTTGAGGGGTGCATTTCTGCAAACTACAGTAGCAGAAGTTGGAGGAGAAGCCAGATTATTATTATTTTTTGCACAGATGAGCTGTCTTATACTGTACTAAAATAGCTAGTTTTGGAAAATATGTAAAAACACATTCCTTTTATGAGCCTTGCATACTGCAGATGCAAGTGGACAAACCTACCTTGATGCACTGTTATGAAGTATTAAAAAGAAGTGTTGATGATTGCTCTTGATCATAACATTGAGCTCAAAATGGGTGAGTAGATGCCAAGCACGTTTGGTTTTATTCTTTTATTTATTTATTTTTTGTATTTCAAATGTACAGTTTGTCTAATTGTACCCATAGATGTACCCACAGACATAATATAAGAGTAGACCCCACATTGGCTGCTACGGCGGCCATCTTGGAGCGGTCGTCCCTCCTACTTTGCTCAATCAAAACAACAGAAGATGCCTCAGCACTGAGGGATATTGTTGTTAGGATCGATGGACTACTGATGTGAGGGCTCCACAGACAACATTTCACAAGTAAGATGGACATATTGTTTATATTTTGTGATTAGAATATTACTTTCCTGTATTTATGTCCACCGGCGAGATACCAGCTAATATTAGCTACAGTGCTTGGTGTAATACGGGTTCAGCCCCGCTATGAAGGCTAACTAAAATTCTGTAAATTAAAAAAATAATTATTCTCTAACTTTGACTTAGATTATCTGACACAAGAGCCTACATTAGAAATGTGACAATGTAACATATAAAACTTATATTATTTGTTATAACATTCACCAAAGTTTACACGGTGGTAAAGACTATTGTAATTCTTTCACTCTATCAAACATAATACATCCCAAATCTTCCGTTTTTGTTTTGAAGGTTTCCTAAAGACACGATGTGAGGAAGAAGAGGGAGATATCTTTAAAGAGAGATGGATTCACTGCAGCACTGATGAATCTCACATCGGATTTTGGACTCAATCTCAGCTGCTGAATCTCTCTGAAGCTAGAACTCGTCGGCTAGAAAACAGCTGACAAATATTAGACTGTACATGTTTAGATGTATATACAAGTTTTTATATGCATATATACATATAAACATCGAACTAATATATATTATTCAGTATTAATCATTATTTATTTGTGTTTGTATATTTATTTAAATATGTATTACTATTACTAAATAATTTATTAAATAAATTATGAACGGTGGTGTGGTTTGTAAACTGCTCATCGTGCATCAATATCAGAATATTCAAAATGTCCTGATGCATCTCAGTAATCCAGGTAAAAAATCAAAAGGATAAAAATTGTAAAGGTCCTCTGGACTGGTTCTTCTTTAATGAAACGTTTCGTCTCACTTCCAAGAGACTTCTTCAGTCTGAGAGTTTCAGGCAAAATTCAGGCTTTTGAGTCCTGCCTCCAGGTGACTGATACACACATCACATGACCATCGTTCACAGGTGACTTATACTCACATCACCTGGCTATGGCTCACAGGTGACTGATACTCACATCACATGGCCATCCTTCACAGGTGACTCATACTCACATCACATGGCCATCCTTCACAGGTGACTCA